ATAGTAACCGGCATTAGTTACTAGACCTTTCGTTACACGGTTTTAATATGTTGTATACCCTTAAGAAACTTTGAAGTAAACAAATTACCATTTAAAGCCGTTAAATTCGATAAAAATCGAGTGCGCCATCCGTGTAAGGCAGAAATTCATCCGTGAAAACCACGAATTAGCGATTAGGAAATTTGAGATCGCAAATCACTCTCACAAGTGCGTACAACCTGGAAATAGTTTTCTTACAGATCGCTAACTTCTAAATTTTGAAGCCTGAATTCGGCCCTAAAACTTGAAGATACTGATTCAAAATGCTTTTAATCGATTTGGGCCAAAAAAATCCCTCATGTTATCTACCTAGATCCATTGCATTCTCCTGCTGCGTTCGATTGCATAGCAGTCATTTCACACCGTTTGGTGTCGCGCAGTTATGTAAACAACATTTCACGAATGAATGTCTTATAGGCCGACACTTCTCCACTTCACACCAGACTTTAATCTCTGTGACTTTTGGCTATGGGGTTATCTCAAAAGCTCTATTTATGGTGATAATCTAAACAATTTGGCAGAAATGAAAAATGTGATACACCGAATTGTCTGTAACATTCCTCCTAATATGCTAAGAGCTGCTGTTGAGAATGCAGTAACAGGATTTAACTTGCTTTCGGAAAATGCTGAATGCTACATTGAACATGCTTTGTAACACGTTTCTGAAACAATTAAACACACATTAAACCAATGTTTTCATGTCTTATTTCATTTAACAATTTCACATACAGTGCCATTTTTCCCCTGGTGGTGAGTTTTTTAACTCTTTTTTTTTTTTTTTTTTTCCCAGCGAAAAATAAATTCCCATAACCTCCTTTACATGATTCCCAAGTTTGATAACATTTGGTCTGGTAGTTTTCCTTTTATGACCATTTCAAAGTGGAACTTTAATTATAACCACCATGTAAATTAAACTTTAAAAGTTTGACAGTTTATTTCAAGTCCCAGCTTTAAAAAAATATGTATATAAATAGAAACTTTTATATTTTATAAAAGTATATAAATAATATAAATAATTATTAAAAGTATATAAATAATAATTTTTAAAAATTATCTAAAATAATAATAAAAGTATATAAAATATAAATAGAAATTTTATATTTTATATTTTTATATTAATTAAGAATTTTTTAAGAAGCTAATTTTCTCTCACGTTATAGATTGTATAAAAAAAAACATAATCTTTAATATGATTTAGATTGTTTCAGCTGATATAAAGAATCGGGTCCCGGTGGGTACAGAATAAACCACTGCTGGACTGTTTACTGTATTTCTTCTTTGTCATTTAGTAAAAAATCTTTTAATTAAAATATTTATCTTTTGGACTTCGCATTAAACTTTATTTATAGTTAAAATGTCTAGAAAATGAAAAGCTGTCTTCAACTGAAACACAGTTGATGCAATTGATATTTTAAAAAACTTGACAAGAATGCAAAATTTATGGAAGTCTAGCAATTGAATAATATTAATTTTTCTTGTGTGAGCACTGAAAATAACTGTAGAAGGAAAGAAGAAAGTTAGGGAGGAAAGTAAGCAAAAATTTGCAGGGAAATTTGGCTGTCAGACATGCCAAGATGTTTCTAAAAGTTGAATGCTTTTGAATATACTTTCAGGATACTTTAAAGAATTTAGGTGTTCAAACAGAAAACACTTGGACGTGTCCAACAGCAAATACCATCAATTCAGCTTGTGTTAACAAAAAAGACAAAAACGATATCATTGCAGATTAAAGGGAAGAGCGACTGGTTTTAGACTATATGGTTCGGTTTTAGACTGGTAGTTCGGTCCGAGGTTCGAATCCCGCGAATGGGCTGGCTGCATGGGCATTTTGGTGGTTTTCCCCATGTGTAACGTGTACACGAACCAGTTTCCCTTAAAAAGTCTTCCCCGAAGGCATCCCTACCCTTAGGCAGATAGCCCCAGTGTGCTTTGCAATAATTAAATAAACCAAAATTCCTCTTGATGAAACCAGCCTTTCCTTTCATCTCATACCTTCAAAATGCTAACCTCTAAAGACTGATAAAGGCTGTGACTTTAAAACTGATGAAATGGATTGAATTGGATTATTAAGTTATGGCAAAGCAGGGCTATCTGCCTAAAAGGAAGGATGCCTTTGTGAAGAACTTTCTAAGGGAAACCGGCTGGCATACACGTTACACATGAGAAAATCCATGAAAACGCCCATGCAACCAGCCCTTTTACCTGGATTCAAACTCGGAAGTGAACTACCAGTGTTCAGCGACTTTACCGCTCGGTCGTTTGTGCCTCTTTATGAAATGGAAGGCGATAACTTTATTTAAAATGATTGTCAGAAAAACCAAGATGTTTCGAAAAGTTGGGTGCTTTTTAATATGCTTGCAGAATGCCTGAAGAAAAAGAGCAAGAATAAAGCAGAATGCCTGAAGAAAAACTGTTTAAAGCAGTGTATGCAAGTCATCGTAAGTTAAACTGTCGGTTATATATCTCTCTTATTTATATATTTTTTCTGAACGGAACACTAAAAGCCGTGTTAACTGTGCTTTACTGTATTTTCTCTTTTAATATATGCAGTTTTTAAATGCTTCGTAGTCTGGGTCACAAAGTATTCTTCCGAAAGAAACACAATGCAAATAAATAAAATCAAATTCTGGAAAATTTATATTAATTTCGAACTGAGCATATTTAAAATGCTCAGTTCGAATGAATAAATAGAAAATTTTAAAATAATTATCTGAAGAGACAATGCAACACTAACAATTAAAATAAAAGTCCAAAAATTTAAAAATTACCTAAAATAGTAACTATTACTAAAAATAGAGTATAAAGAAAACTATTTGAAAAAAAAGATAAACGATGCACCTTTGATTTAAACTATGCAGTTCGAATGAGTAAATATAAATTTTTTAAACAGTTATTCGAAAGAAACTTTACAACATAAACAATTAAAATGAAATTCGAAAAAATAAAAAAATTGCTTAAAATTAATAACAATTATAATTAAAAATATAATATAAAGGACATTATTTGAAAGATGGAACGTTTGAGTCTTTTTTTCCTCTAACGCACTATGTAAAAATGGAAATGAAAATAGGTTGCCACATATTAAGAAGTTCACCAAGTGAACTAATTTCGGCGCAAACTGAATAAAAAGCGCCAACATAAATTGTTGAACTTCTCCGTAAATTTCGCACCAAATTTTACAAAATTTAATATTTAGGCATAATTTTAATCGAAATATGGAAAAAAATTGGTATGTTATTTCAGAAGTCCGATTTTGTGTCAAAATACCTATGTTAGAATATTGCTATATATAAATCTAATATATATCCTAAGTCGTGCTTTCGAGACATGAAAAACGCAATTTGAATTTCGTGAATTGGCCCAGTAGAACGGGAGATATAGAACTTTCCCATAATTTTTTTTTTTTTTTTGAGCAGTGTACAAGGGCTGTTTCTAAATAAAGATTTGGAAATAAAAAGGTGAATAAAAGGAAAATTATTATCATGCTATTTATTCGGTCAGTTTTCTTTCTTTTTTCCTTTTAACATAGTATGATGCTTGACATCCTTTTTTGTAAACAAAAACGGCTAACATCTTAACTCAAAAAATAATAAAATGGGAAAAAAAAATAAATGTTCATTCAAAGAATTTATTGATTGATTTTATGCAGGCATTCTATTTTATATTTGTTTAATAAAAATGTAATATGAATTTGACAGGCAAATGTTAACCAATTTTTATATGTTTATGTTTAGCATTTGATATCAAATGTAATTGTAACCTAGAGTGGTAAGATTTTGTTATGAAATTGTCAAAGATTGAGTATCCTATACATATTTTAAAAAATGCATGAAATTTGTTGTATTATTTTTTTGTGAGTTGTATACAGTCAAAAGTCTTCAATCCGGATTCGTCTGGACTTCGGCGATTCCGGATTATCGGTTTTTCCGGATTATAGATCATCAGTTTAAATCTGTTAAGATGGCATGCAGAAATTATAAAAATAAAAATATGAAACCGTAATTTATGAAATAAAGAGCAATTAAGATCTAAAGGGTATCGAAATTTACAAAAAAAGCTTAATATTTATTTGTTTACTTTATTTAACATTTCTTTCAACGCGCGCATAAAGCATACGTTACGCATAGTCGAAATTAGAAAATTGCAACCAGAAAACTATTTGATGTGTATTCGTGATATTTGTAATGACGATTAATTTGATTTAAATCATATCAAAGATGGAGTACATCGAGGTGAATTACTACATTTAGTAAGGAATTAGAGGCCAAACAGAATAAAAACATCTGCCGTGAAGATAAGGATAGTGCTGACAGGTCAACTTCCAGTTCATTGCGCGCCGCGACGTTTCCTCCCTCCTCGCAGAGCAGCGTGAAATTGATAAACAGATTTTGGAATGGTTAGAGAAACAAAGGATATGCCTTTATCCATTTTTTGTAGCAATTCCACTTTTTGTTTGATGGACATTGAAACATGCTTTCGCTTTGTAGATCCTTTGGCAGTTCCAGAATCGGAAATTCTTTTTGACATAATCGAAAGTTCAAGCTTACTTTATAAAATTGCTCTAACAGTTCTGCAAAAAAAATAAGCCAGATCCAATTAGAAGATTAAGGAACAACGCAATCTGCAACATTAACTGAAATAGATAATTAGATAATTTTAGCTTACCTAATACCGTCCGTTATACATTAAACACGCATGTGTAAACGTATTATGCGCATGCGCAGAAGGTTTGTAGCTTTGAGGTCCAGATTATAGATCATTCCGGATTATGGACGTCCGGATTAAAGACTTTTGACTGTATATCTATTGAATGAACCTAAAATATAGAAATTGTCAAGTCATTGATAAAATTTCATGGTGGGAAAGTTATTAAAGCTTTTTTTAAGTAAAACATTTTTTATTACATTTAGCATTTTTATATTTATTTCATATTTATATAAGCCATCTTATGTCTGTTTCAGGTACAACTGATGATGATGATAATTCTCCAAATGATGTGGTTTCTATTCCATCTGCTAATGAAATTGTAATTTTTTGTTATATTTCTGATGATCCCCTTCTTTCTACTATTCCTTTAACGTTTCTTAAAAACGTTGTGTCTAAAACATTTTATGCAATCCTTAGAAACCTAACATATGGAACTATTGAAAAGGCAGGAGAAACTAAAACTTTAAAACTCTGGTGCTTTTTACAAAAGTAGTCATATATTCTTATCAGTATGATAGAGCACTATCACTAGTTACCATTTCAAATTACTAAGAACTTTATAGACAATATAAAAAGCTGCATACATTCACACAGCGATCTCTGAATATGCTCAGCTGAACTCTGAACTAAACTAAAAACTGCGGCTATTTCCAGTCTTATATAGTTTTCTTCCAACTGCTGAAAAATTTCCAGTACTTTCGATTTCTGGAAATTGCTGGAACACATGTACAGTTACTGTTACATAGGAGTTGGATAAATTACAATTATACAAAGATCAGACCAAAATGTCACCAAGTAGTTACGAAATTTGGCAGCAAATATTAGTCACAAAATTATCACCAATTTGCCACTATTTCATTAATTTGGCAAAATACCCATTTATCTCAGTACATGGATATCTCACTAATCTGGTGAGATAGCCATTTACCTCAGTGTTAAATGGACCTGTTCCTGTAACTTTATTTTTCTGGCTAAGCTTTACATTCTTAAGGCCTTTCATGTTACATTACACAAGAGATACTACAATTTGCGTACAATTTCACTAAAGTTATCCACATATATGCAAAATTTGTAACAATATTGTGTGCACTAATTCAATATTCATAACAATGTTTGCATTGTGATACCAAATCTCTAATATCTGCATTCATTGAGTAGGCATAGATGCCCAATATCTCAGTATCTAACTTCCAATTTTACAGTCCTTCCCTTTCCATACGTTCTAATAGCTTTTAAACACCCTATTAGCAGTAAGTATCATTTTGGTGATGTTCATTCCTAGCCTTCAGACCTTGATCAAAGTCAGTATCATTAGAGTGATGTTCATTCCTAGCCTTCAGGCTTTTAATTCACTTAATCAGCGAGCTTTTTTAAGACATCAGTTCTGTTTTAAGCTCATTTCGGGCCCTAGGTGCAGAAGATCTATGGGCCCCCTTGGCACTTGCAGATCTAAGGCTGGGCTCTTGCATCTGCTAACAAATAAAACAAAATTTTAATGTTTAATTTTTATTGTAAAAGTATAAGTAAAAATAAAAAACAAAACAGTATTCTTATAAAAAATGTTAAAAATAAAAACAACATTCTAAAATATAACATTAAAAAAATGTAAAAATAAAAGTAACATTCTAAGATATAACATACTAGAAAGCCTGGCAGTCATATGAAATGACTGCTGTTCTAGATATTATAAATTGTAATTAAAATGATTTGTGCAAAGATGTCTGCTAATTTAAACTGAATTACCCAGGGCAGGTGTTGACGACGCCCCTTTGCTTACTGCCCCACAGGGTTTCCCCCTTCTACTTGCTTAATTGCTTAAAGTAGAGTGCAATGAAGGAAACCACTGGTGGTACTCTCTTAAGAGCCACCACTAGCTCAATCAATAAAGGTGATTTAAATAATGAAATGTTAATTTCACATGTCAAAGATCTCCTTGTTCACAACATTTCTTGTGTCGATCTTTTCATCATTTTTAAGCTCGCCTGGCAGAGGACCATCCATTATTTTTAATTTTACATCCGTTCTTACACGAATTCTTGAACAGGCAATATAAAGTTGACCATGTCCAAATGCAGGCTCGGTAAAAAAATGCCAACACGCTTAAGCATTTGGCCCTGAGACTTATTGATGGTCATAGCAAAGGCAAGTTTTACAGGAAATTGTCTATGTCTCATTTGAAATGGCAACCCTGTGCCGTGGCAACTTCACCTCATTGGCTAGTACAGTTACGCAAGCAACCAATAAACTATCGGCGACAAACAGACACTTAAGCAGCATATATATATATGGGGTGAAGTAACATCATCTCCTCCGATTGATACATTTCCCGGCTGGGATTTAGTTGATAGTTTACACTGTGATGTTCCCTAAGGATTAAAAGAACAGAGCTTATAAAAGCTGCAAGGCTGCATAAGCATAAGCAATTTTCATTTAAGCATTTAAGCATCTCCTCCGAAACGGCTGGCTCCCGGACCTAACGAAGAGCACCGTTGGATTGCGCAGGTCCGTGGCACGCCATTTTGAACATTCACAACGTTTTTAATTAGACGAGTTATTAATTAAAAACTAATTTTCCCCTACGTTTTCCCTACATTTTCCATTTTCCTTGTTGGGTTTTTCCTATTAGAGGGATTTTGCTATGTGCCAAATTCTTTTTTTCTCAAATATCTACAGAATGGCGCCAAGTTGAAATTCGAGATTCATACCCTCGGATTCCAAAAAATTCTATGAATCCATCGATATCTTTCTCATCTTCGTACGACTTTAATCGGTCGAGATATTAATTAAAAACTGCTGAAACGTTAATTTCCGTGCTCATTTTTTCGAGTTGCAACAATAAACTATTGGCAACACACACTTTAGCCGCTTATATGTAGCGTATTTTGAAACTAAGTACCTTTTCATTCTAGTGCCGTCGCAGCGCTGTGGTAAGCATCCTGTGCATGCGCACTAGTCTTTCTTGTTCACTGACTTTCAATTGTCACCATTTTGGTTGCTCTATGTTGTGTTTTCAGTTTGCTGTGCACATTCAAAATGTTTAAAGACAATTAGTTCTCCCCCGCTGACTGTGAGATTCGTGCCGTGATTAAATTTTTGAACGCGAGGAATGTTAAACCAGCCGAAATTTATTGTCAAGTGACAGAAGTTTTACGGTGAATATGGATAAGTGATGGAATGGTGAGAAAGTGGGTAAGAATGTTTAATGCAGGTCGAGCAAATCTCCATGCCGAGGCTCGGAGTGGTCGGCCTTCTGTTGTCATCGATGATTTGGTAAGGAAAGTTGATGAAGCAATTCATGAGAACAGACGCTTCACAATGACAACTCTTTCAGAGGCATTTCCACAAATTTCACGTACTGTTTTGTTCGAAATTGTGTCTGACCGCTTGAATTATCGCAAACTGTGTTCCCGATGGGTTCCAAAAATGCCCCATACTGCTGGTGTCACTCAATTGTTAATTCGACAGTTTCATTGGGAGCAGTTCGATAACCCACCGTACAGCCCGGACTTAGCGCCGTCCGACTATCACTTGTTCCTGCACATGAAGCACGAGCTTGGTGGCAAGCACTTTGGATTTGACGATGACACGAAACATGCTGTGGAGTCATGGTTATTGAAACTGGCGGGAAGTTTCTTTGACGATGGTATGCAAAAACTGGTCACCCGCTATGACAAGTGTTTGATCATTGGCGGAAACTATGTTGAAAAATAGTTTAAGACATGTATTTTCATGTAAAAATTAAATTGGATTCGAAAAAATTGTTTTATTTATTTTTTTTTCAAAACGGTACTTAGTTTCCGAATACGCCTCGTATATATAAAGATAACATAACAAATATTATAGCATTCTTTTTTGTGACTTAATATTTTCAAACTGAGGTATGATAGCACCACTATTAAGTTTCTTCATTGCGTTATATTCTTTATATACAAGTGACAATGCATCAAGGTTTTCTTGGTTCAATTTAGACCTTAAGTACGTTTTTATATTTTTTAGGGCTAAAAAGGTCGATTGCCTGATGCGTTAGAAGTGGGTATCGTTAAATAAATTTGCAATAGAGTTAGAATATTCAAAAAGTTTGCTTTCACCGTCTGAATAACCTCAAGTTTTTTATAAATCGTGTTTTTATTTAAATTTTTGGACAATTCTTGAAAATGATTAATTTTGTTTTGTAAATAGTCTTCGGTTTTGTCAATATTGTTCCTGTATTTCTCACACAAATGTCAATTGATATTTTGATTTCCTCCTTGTCTAGGGTGAAAAAACATTTAAACTCTGATGTTACTTCTTTGTAACATTTAATTCCTTTTTTAAGGTCTTGAGTAATATTGTCACATATTGCATCAAATACTTCATTTCTAAATCTTTCTTTTACTTCTAAAGTGATTTTGTTTTCAGTTGTTTCATCAAAAAATACTTTTCTCCTTTTTGCCTTTTTAAGTTCGTCTTTATAGCGTATGTTCGTGGTATTCTCACCTTTGAAAACGTGGTAGCCTCGTCTTTTGTTTCTAACTCGATTTCGTTATTTCTCTTATTTCTTCAACAAAGTGTTTCTCTTATTTCTACTACAAAGGTCAACAGAAATGTCATCATTTGTACTCCAAATGATACGTTCAAGTCTGCATTTTGTAAAGTTTTCTGGTTGCATTAACTCGTTCCAAAATTCTTATCTAAATTGATGTTAATAGAGCTGTTTAGAAGGCATCCATTTTATTGTACAGAGCCTTCGCTTCATTTCTAACTGCAGATTTCTCTTCTGTATTGTTGCTTAGTTGAAAAAGTTTTTTTATTGCCTTTTTAGTTTTTATGCAAAGCATTTACTGCCTCAAATCAGGCAGACCATCTAGTTGTAACCAATCGTTTTACAGAACTTTTACAGCTTTGCAGTAAGTTCCATCTTTGAGAGGAAGCCGAAAAGAACTTGCAAATACTTTGAACAGTTGTAAAATAGTTACTTCCAAGCTGGACTCACATGCAAAGTTAACTACAAGATTAAATGAATGATTTGAACATTGCACATAAATAGCATTAGGTGGCAGTTCTTGTATTCTTGCCTGTACTCCTATGTAACACCCCAACATATTTGCAGCATTATCATACATTTTATCCGTCAATATCTAAGGCTGCCGCGACGGCCTTAGATATTGATGAATAGAGACATGGATGTGCAGGTGAGAGGCACAGATTATTTTCTGAAAATCATTTTCTATTTTTCTAAAGCATTTTTTATCTTCAACTATCGAAATTTATAACCAGAAATTCTGGCTGTGTCCAGCTTATCCATGCCCTGGGGCCTGCCTTAAGTGCCCAATGGATAAACCTGCACTTCAAGACATGCACATGCAGTTGACAGAATTATGCCTTAGTAACCATGGCAGACCTTAAAGCATTTTAAGTGTACTATGTGGTATCTGCATCATTCTGATGAGCACATTTTCACAGTGTATAATTTTCTGTAATATTTTGGCTGATCAGTCATACATGTGAAATATCTCAATGACACCTTGACACATTGGTTGAATCAATGATATATTTGGGGAATGAAAAATTATATGTATGTTTTCATCTAAATTGTGCAAAACATTCAGATAACCAGGAATATTGGCAAGATCATTAAAATCTTAAAATTAGTGCTCTTCCCATCTACCCTCAGCAATAGCTATCAGAATTCAAGAGTGACTGGTAGATTGGTATACTGCAGGAAATTCCAGAAAATGTATCCTATCACATAATTTTAAAGCTGCATAAAAAGAACCCGCACAAAAGCAGACTTGACTTTAAAGGGGGTGAAACCTTTGCATGCTAAAAATAATTTTTTTTCTAATTTTTTCTAATTTAATTTTATTTTGTTCAATTAAAACTTAGTTTGTTTTTGAAATTTTCAAATTTGAACTCATCAAAGATGGTCTAAATGAGGTATTGCTGAATGTTTCTAAGTGTGTATATATCATATTATAATTTTTACCAGTTTTTTACGTATGTGTGTGCACATGCGTACTAGTTTGTAATAGATTGAATACACAGAGAACCAACGATAGCATGATAATATTTATTTCTACAAAGCAAAACACTTTGCAGTTCTGAAACTTTCCACAAAAGCACTTGTGCAGCTCTTGTCAGTATCACAGAGCACAATCGCGAGTTACACTTAACTACTAAGAATGTCAAACACAGTGCAACGCAAAGTGCATCTAAAAGGCGAAGTTCTCACTATCTCAGTACTCTGAAGTCACTCTGAACTGATATCTACTAAGAAACTAATGCTGTTTCTGGTCTTATATAGTTTCTCCAGGCTATTGAGAAATCTGTAGTATCTTCCGCTTCTCGAAATTACTGGAAGATATATGGGGGGCAGATAGCATTACAGTTGCATATAAAATCAATTATAGTTGCAGAGTTTTAATTACAATACTCATTACAGTTATACAGGGATCAAATCAAAATGTTGCCAAATGGTCTCTAAATTTGCCAACAAAAATTAATCACCAAAACCATCGCCAGCTTGGCAATATCTCATCAATTTAGTGAGATAGCCATTTACTCAATGCTAAGTAGACTTGCCCTCTATAATCTTACTTTTTCTGATAGAGCTTCTTCTCTTTATAAGCATTCCATGTTATATTATACAAAAAATACTTTAATTTCACTAAAGTTATTTACATACATACAAAATCGATAACAATATATACATATGTGATAATTTCATTACACAATGAGAATGAAGAAGTTACAAATTAGTTTTCTAATCAATAATGGTCAGAAATGGGAAAATGATATACTTCTGAATAGATAGAAGACAGCTTGAAAATGCAGTGTAGTACATGGTTGGAGGGAAAATCACAACTCGCTTGATTATTAAAATGCCATTTTTGTTTTACAACAGGAACAGTTTTTTTAAGGATACTTTTTTTTTAATTAGAACATTGCTATGGCTGCTGTAAATGCCCCCAAAATTTAATATATGACACTACATTAGTTGTATGTTCATCAAAAATGTTTTGTCAGCAGTGAAGAAAGATTCAACCAGCGATGGTTGCTAATGTTTTTTTATGCACAAGCTCCATCATCACACATCTACATCATGCATCAAAAATGTTATTACGTATATGTTTTCAGATTTTCAGTATTGAAATTTGCTTAAATATTCTTGTTTTCTTGTCTTAGAGGAACAAAAGTAAGGCACTTTGGAAATTAACTATTTTTTAAAATTTAAGAGGCATAAGCTGAGCATGCTTATTTCTAGAAGCTTCAAGTGAAGAAACTAGAATATGATATTTTGGATATTTGAATTTGTTATGAAGGTTTTACCTAATAAATATGTTATGAAATTAATTTAGTTACAGCATTTAGAAATATTTTACTGTTTTATTGTATTCTATATTTGTTAACCCTTTGCGGCATGGTGGGTCAATATATGTCCCACCTAATTAATATTTATTTTCTCACTCAGCAATTTCCGTTAGAAATTTTCTAATCTTTTAAAAATAATCTATTTTAGTTATTATTTTTCTCAGTATATGTTACTATTATACCAGGCCTTAAGTTTATAAGCAAAAAATATTCAAAATAGGATCACAAGAGTGATATCCATGTATCTCGCATTTTTCCATATTTTAAAAATTTTGGTATACAATTTATGATACGTATGATTCTTTTTAATATTCAAAGGTATTTTATTTTCAAAAATCTTAATGTGTATTCAATATTTTATAACAAAAATTTTAATTTGCAGTTGAAATAAGTGGGTTAAAATTTGTCCCACCACCACACACTTGAATTTCCGCTCAATAGATGGCAGCACTCACGATTATTTTTCTTTTCTTTTTCGCATCTACTTTTTTCGTGATTGTGCGCGCTTTTACATCCGTTGTATGCTCTGATGTGCTAAAATGTCTACAAAAAAATTAACAACTCAGGAAGCTTTGGATCTTTTTGCTGAATTGCCATCCGATTGCGACTCAAATGCTTCAGATGTCAGTTCTGATTTAGATGAAATTGAAATCCAGGAGAGAATAACTGAGGTTGAAGTTATTGCTGAAGAAGAAAGGGAAGTAGTTATAATTTGTTTCGCTTTTTAAAGACACAGACCCATCTATGCATGTGGCACTGTAAATATGGATTGGAAGTATCTACCCAAATTTTAAAAGACAAATTTATGTCAAGAGAATATATAGACTTTTCAGTTAGCGATGATTCAATTTATTGCATAAAATGGAAGGATAAAAGATCCGTTTCTATCCTGTCTTGCTTGGAAAAGGCAACTGAAATGAAAGAAATTAATAGAAAAGAGCAAGATGGAAAGACAAAAAAAAAAAAAAAAAAAAAAAAAAAAAAAAGTACTGTGCCCAAACAGAATTATTTCCATACAATAAGAATATGGGATATGTCGACTGATTGATCAACTGACAGACTATATGAAATAGACCGCAAAAGCATGAAATGGTGGCACATGATTTTTTTTTACTTTTTAGATGCAAGTATAGTAAACACATTTAGTCAAGTTTGTTCGCGAACCTGATCATGATGTAAAAACAATGAAAGATTTTCTTCCCTCAGTTATAGAAGGTCTAATGGCACTTGCAGGCAAGAAAGAGCTGAAAAGAAAACTGAAATCCCCAGTTCAAATACAAACTAAAATCCCGTTCGTACAACCAGAAAAAAGACTAAAAAATGTAAGTAAAACGCCAAAGAGAACGAGCAGAAGATGTGCATATTGCAGCATATCGAAAGAAGAACGACGAACATTTTGGATCTGTGAAACACGTGAAGTGCCTCTATGCTACAAAAGAATGAAACAACATGTTTTTTTCAAAGTTTCATGAAAAATGATTTTTTTTCAATTTTAATCATATATAAATGTTTTTGAATCAAGTGCCCAATTTTAATATTTTATTTAGTATCATATGTATGGTATCAAATTTTAATCTTAAAATAATATTCAAGAAAATATTTTCTTTTGTTCCTAAAATTTAAAAATATTAAATATATACTATATGCAAAATGTGCACATGCAAAATTTTACAAGTCATGCATATATGCAAAAAGTACAAAATGCATTTTAGTGTGTTTATTATGAATATTTTAGAATGCACGCTTTATTTTGTTTATTCATTCCACATAGGATTTTTTTTTCCTGCTATACACCAATATGCTATAAGACATGTGCTAGTTGCATGGTGGGACAAACGGTATCCCACCTTCCACCGTAAAAAATAAAAGCGCAGAATTTTTTTCAAGCCTTAAAGGCACTTAAGTAAGTCCATCTGACTTATTCTAAGGCATTTTTTAAAAGATTAAAATATATTTTAAATATGCGTGTCGCAAAGGGTTAACCAAGAAAATTACAATTTATGAAATAGGCAAGTATCTAAGTATTGCCTTTTTTTTTTTTTTTTTTTTGCAGCCAGTGTTTCTTCATCGTCCATATCAAATGAGTTACTATTCTGATTCGAATAATGATGGTAAGTAGTAATTTTAAATTTCGGGTTTACTTTAATTATCAGTAATGCTTGTTATTAATATCAATTTGCTTGTCAGTAAACTTTAGAAGTACTTGCATGCTAAACTTAAAAAGAATTTTGTTACATGCATTTCCTTGAAATATCTGTTATGTATTTCTTTGTTTATTTTATCTGCCTGCGAATTCTTACGTAAAAAGTACGTATTGCAGTAAGAAAATAGTGAATATTGAAAAACATCTGAAGATATATAAAATTGTTTTCATAAATTGAGATTTTTTTTTTCATAAAAGCTATATTAAATGATTCCATATAAAAGTTTCATTTTTAGTATAAGAATGTGCCATATGTGCCAATGCTCATGTTTTCCGGTTTTATCTTGCTTTTATTGAAATAATAAATGCATTGTATAGGATCTCCCAAACTCTCTCTGCTAGCTGTTCATTTCATAAAAATTGTGCATACTAACTGTTAAGGACAAATGAATTTCTATGCATAAGTAAACCTGGAATTGCCATAAAATTATTATATGTTTCATTTGAAAGTGGAGACTGTCTGTAGATTATTTTTCTTTTTAAAGTTTCTGCTGTGAACTGAGATAGCTTGACGAAAACTACATTGTTATCAGAGTAGTAAACATGCTAGTATTTTCATTTAGAATATTAGTTGTATGTCTTAACTGGATTGCGGACTTATTGCAAAAATAGATTGTTTGCATAGAACATAGAGATTAAAGTATGAATTTCAGAGTTTTCTTGGGACATTTCTTGGCAACTTTTTAGTATTCATGGAACATCCTTACGTAACTGTATTTAAAAGTTCATTTCAAACAGTATCAACAAAGTATAATGCTCCAGAAGTTATTAACAATTTATCTCAGCAATTTTGGAAATAAAAATATTTAATTGAATTTCTTTAGAATTACTTTTAAATTTGAAAGAAGTGCATTTTACCATTAAAGTAAAGAAGGAATGTAAATATATCAAATTTCAGTAATAAATTGGACTTATTATCTGTAAATTATTACAGGTTAAAAAGGTAGTAGTATGATTTTTGGAAATGTTTAGTAAGCTTTTAGTTTTTAGCAGGTGTACTCTTTTTGGGAAGGAGGAGATGGTGTTTAATTTTATTGATCTCAAGTTTTTGTTAGTTGGAATAAGGAGATTTAAGGTGATTTAAATTCTCTAATTAAGAATGATTTTGGCAATTATACACTTATTCAGTTTTTGTGCATGATTATTAACAAAACTAATAATGTAGAAAATATGTGCAGAAATAATAGCTTTTCTTTTCAATTCTTCTTTCTCTCTCTCTCTTTTTTTAAGTACAGTAGATTTTTATGGTTTTTGTATTTTGTTTTTATAAACTGCTTGAAATACAGAATGTGTGCATTGATTAATAATTTTGGCAATATATTTACCTTCAGGTATGTTTTGCATAAAACTTTTTTCACTTCATTCTCAGTTTAGCCAATTTATATTTTCAAAATTTAAATAATTAGTATCTATTTTGATTTACATGGTTTAAATAATTTATAATAAATATCAATGATGTTTAATATCTTTTATCTAACAATATTTTTATTCGTATTAAAGATGGGGGCTCAAGCCGAGTTTTTTTCATACACGATAAAATAACACCTTTTTCTAGAAATCAGGAAAGTGGTTTTTTTCTTTCTTGTTTTAATATCCATTTTTAATTTCATTTTTAAATTCAAAAGATTAAAAACTGATTGTAAATTTTTGTATTATCAACATCCAGGAAGGTAATTTTTCTTTTTGCTGATTGAAGCTGTTCTTAGGTTCATACAGGTTTGTAATGGATTGAATGCATACTGAACCAACAATAGCTTGACAAAATTTATTTTCCTGAAAGAAACTATTTACAGTTTTGGAACTTTCCACAAAGGTGCTCGTACAGCTCTTCTTAGAATAATAGAGCACAACCAGTTGTTATTATTTCCAAACTACTAATAACATTAAACACAACACAGTGCAAAACACATCCAAACAGCGAAGCTTACACTATCTCTCAATACTCCGAAGTCAGCTCTGAACAAAAACCCAGAGCTGATACTCTCTCTGCTCTTATATAGTTTTCCTCCAGCTGCTGAGAAATCTCTACTACCTTCCATTTCTCGAAATTACTGGAAGACGTATATGGTTAAATTACATTTATTTAGTTACAGTATCAATTACAGTTATACAGGGACCATAGCAAAATGTTGTAAATGGTCACCAGTTTTGGTTGATTTGGCAACAAAAATTAGTAGCCAAAACCATCGCCAGGTTGGTATATTTCGCAAATTTAGCAAGGTAGCCATTTACCTAAGTGTAAAATAAACCTGCCTCTGTAATCTTATTCTTCTGGCAAAGATTTGTTTTTTCAAGCATTTCATATTACATTATACAAAAGATGCTATAATTTCAATAAAATTATTTACATACATACAGAATTTGTAACATTACTTCCTTCCCAAGGCCTGCACATCTGGGGCAGTACAATCCATGGACAGTCATACTGACATCTAAAGTGAGTCAGTGCAATACTAAAACAATAATTTCATTAAATAACTTAACGAATCAAATATAAAACAATAATTTCAATAAATAATATTCTATAAATCAAATAGTAAATAATTAAATGCATGAACTTACAATTTTATATACAAATAGCACCATGGTTTTAGCTTATTATTTACATTATATACACTATGAGGGACTACATACTATGGCCATAGTAAGGGGTTAGCCTATCATAATGAATGATTTTAGGTTTAGAATTTGATAACTTATGGATCTGAACTATGATGTTGTTTAGCCTGTTTAGGTATGGTAAGGCGTGTTAACCTGTGGTACCGGTGTTAAATGCCAGTACTGCTAGGCAATAGTATACATGGTTCTGCTCAAACAAAGATTTTTTTTTAAACATGATTATGATTTAGTGTAGTTTAGACAAAAATTTGAATTCTCTTTTTATGCATGTTATTTTGGTATAATAGCACCTTTTTAACTTTCTAAATGAATTTAATTTTGAAAAACAGGGTTTGTACGGGCCTTAAAAGTCCTTAGGTTTTTTGGAATTGATTTTTGGTCCTTAAAAGTCCTTAATTTCAGCCAAAATCGGCAGAAGGTCCTTAATTTTAATCATCTGAAATTTCAGCCTGTTTTTACGACTGCCATTTTAAGTGTAAATTATCATTTTGGAGGAATATTTTTGGCGATTCGCTGACATATATGGTTATCCTCTTGAATGGGTTATAATTTGTTCCTATTTCTAGTATAAATGATGGGATACTCGAGTTTCTGAACAAGAAGTGAAACATAAGCATTTTGAAATTATTTCATTTTTTCTAATGAAGAGTTCTTAAACAACTCTTTGCTTTTGGGGATGTGAATTCTTGTATTTAGCGGCTCTAAATTTCGCGGCTTATCAATATTTTGGCGATTTTAAGATCACTTTCTATAGAAAATTTTTAATTCCAAGATCTGGGAAGTTTTCAACGTTTTTTTAAAAACATTCTAAGATTGATAAATTTCATTAATGTAATGATAATATATTGAAGTTAAATTTAAAAAATAACATTAAAATAAAACATTTTTATTTTTCGCTGTCATATTATAAAGTTCCATTTTGGCAACTTATTATACAATATTTTAAATATGAAAAATAAACAATGTATAATGCTGTAAAGCACAATTTACCAAACAGTTCTTAAGAAAAAGCAAAATTAGCTATGTAATTACTTAAAAATATCTTCTTTTTATTTTTTTCATAGTTAAGAGTTTTTCCCATGCAATTGTCTCAGAATATGTATCAGTTTTCTCTATAAAATTAATTTTACACTTTCCCCTCCCTTTTTTTTCCAAAAATATTTTTGGCTTTTTGTGATTACAGAATTTTGTAAGGATAATTTTTCTTTTAGGGTTTTAGACACTGCAGCTTCGAAAAGTTTAGAAGGATTTGAAGGCAAGATTTATAGACCCACAATTCTAAAAGATTCCAGAAATGGGGGACGAAATGAAAAATGCCTCCATGTTATTAACACGTAATGGATGTTTTTTACAGAAAGCTTGCAATGAATTTCTTACTTTTTGGAGAACGTTTGGAAGAATAATGGAAACATAATATTCAAATATTTTACTTCTGATACTAGAATCTTTTCCTTAACATGTTTATCTTTCTACTTTTCACTAGATGCAAGCATGGAAAATATCAAAAATGCTCGTAATCTTGTCACATGGACAGGCATTATAGAAAGGAATTTTTTTATTAATAAAGAAATTGAAAATAGACAATTTAAAAGATTCATCTAATATGCCGTAATGCATCATGCACAGAGCTGGCACTAGGCATTTCCCCACTTGATGCAATCTCTGGAGATCTTAAATTCTGCTTCCAATGCTTGCTCTAAATTCTAAAAGATTGGCGTTTCTAGATTTTGTTGCTTGGTGTATCACTAAATTCTAAAAATTCTTCCACAGCTCTAGAACCGACCTTTACCATATACACTGCTCGACATTGAAAATGCAACACCAAGAAAGAATGGTCAGAAATAGACGATTTTATGAGGGGTATGGTGATTGGACTGAGAAGGGCGAGTTGGTCCTTACATCAAATGAGCTGATACCCACATGGATGTGAGCACGGTGCGTCGGGTATGGCGAACATGGTTGGAACGGGAAATGTGGGAAGAAGGAGGGGTGCAGGTGCAGCCAGAGTGACGTCAGCACGTGTGGATTGACACATCAGCCGACAAGCTGTGGCCGTCCCGTAAGTCACTTGTACCGCGACTCTGCAGCATGTGCAAGATACCCTGGATGTTCCTATGTCGACCAGAACCATTTCCCGTCGATTGGTTGAACGTGGCCTGCACTAACGGCATCCGTTAAGAAGACTGCCATTGACCCCATAGCATCGACGCCAACATTTAGAATGGTGCTGGACTGGAGCGATGTGGATGAAAGAATGGTGAAGCGTCGTGTTCTCAGATGAATCACGCT